AAAAAGAATATTAGCACAAGTGAGACTTGGAGTAAGCACAAGGAGCAAATGTCGAGGTCGAAATTTTTTCGCAAGGAGGGAGGAAATGTGATACCTCGACTTCGATTTAGATTTAACAACAAGTATTGAATGATTAGAATAGACGTATCAAACAGAATCGAAATCGCACTACCAGCTCATGTTGGAAAATTTTGAAAAGAGCAATGAGTCACTCAAACCGATTTGATGCTACCGAGCTAGATGAGAATACCTGTTATGGTCAAGAGTACATATAAGAACTATAGTAAGCTATTCAAGATAAGGTAAGGAAACGCCATTGAAGTTCATATAACAAGAGTGAAATCTTGAGCCAAAGAAGCACGAGGATGAGGAGCATGGAAGGATGAGCCCGATCCAATTTCGGGGATGAAATTTTTATGAGGGTGGAGGAAATGTTTCACCCCGCTCTTCCCAAAGGTCAAAATGACTATTATACCCTTGGATAAATTTGTCAAATTCTAATTTAATATCCATGAGGTCTAAAAATGCAAACTCTCGGTTCAAACGGTGTCGAGTTTCAACATAGATCGAGTAAGTTACGCACGTTTGCAGAGTTTCGAATTAAATTCACCCGTTATGAGATGCCCCCTCGAGCTAACCAAAACCCTGGCCAACTCTAATCCCAAATCCCATCGATCACGTGGTTCTATCAGCGCACCGCATACGCAACTGCCCTCGGGTCTACTGTGAGACCTACCTGCTTAAGCAAGCAGGATGGCAAGTCGAGGTTGGAATTCCGGCGGAGGCCAATATAGTCCCCCCCCCCCCCCCCCCCCCGCGGAATGATAGCATGACGCTTAAGCAGGTGGGAACCTGCGCAGGGGAGGTCGAGGGCGGAGTTATGGATGGAGCAAGCAAGAGGGAAAGCTTCAGCAGCTGAGCAGGAGGGAAAGCTTGGCAGCCGGGTAGGGTGGTCGAGATGGGTTGGGCCTGGCGCTACCGGCCACTCCCTCGATTCTTTGTTTCACCCTTCTCTACTGTGAGACCAGGTTGTTTAACCTAGTTGGTGCCGAAGCAACCTGGACGCGAGTGGGGGCGGGGAGTAACACGGAGGATATCATCGACAGGGTCCCTCCCTGCCATTGACCCAAACCATGTCCGTGCCAATCCTACTACGAGAGCTGCTAAGCAAGCGGGCAGTAACCTTTGAAACCCCTCTGGACGCTTCGCAGTTCACAATTTGTGGTTCCACTTCATGGTCCTAGCGACCATGAACTCCAATGAATGATCGTGAATTGTGGCTGAAAACTCCTCTTTGCCCGGTCTTTGCTCCTTTTCTTCCAACTTTGGATTCTGGGGTTGGTTTCACCTGTTAGACTCTAAAACACATTGAAACACAAGAAACCTAGCATAAAACCACCCTTGTTTGGAGCTCAATTTCCACAAACGTCAAAGAGAAACTGGGGTAAAAAGTGTACAATTAGGCCCGAATCAGTAAATCGGGTCTCCTGGTCAGGGTCCTCTTTGGGGGATAAAAGTCTTTGTTTAATGACCATTAACCAAGGCAGCATATGACACTGTGCAGTCACAATTCATTATTAATTTAATCCACATATCTTCAAAACCAATTTCAACATAATTGCTTTAAGAAAAGGCCATTCGACTCGATCATACACCGTATCAATGTCCAACTTTGCTTCCATGAACCTTTTTTTCCTTCTTCCTATTGTCCGATTCTTCATTGCATGAAAGCATTCAAAAACTACTATAATATTGTCTAAAATATATCTACCATGCACAAAATCACTAATTTCCCACCAACATTTCATTTAGAACTAGTTTAAGCTCGTTGACCAGCCCCGTAGACATTATCGTGTACAAAACTTTACACAGATTAATAGGACGAAACTCCATTGGGAAAAAATCCCACTGTACACACGTTCTTAAAAAAAATTCCCAAAATACATAAGTTATAAAAAAATTTCCCAAAGTACACATGTTTGGCATTCACCGTTTTTGACAAACGCAGTGAAGGAGATCACCGCGTTTGACAAAGACGGTGAATATTTCACCGTTTAAAAGAAAAACGGTGACGTATTCACCGCGTTCATCTAAAACGGTGATGTATTCACCGCGTTTGATTAGAACGGTGAATACGTCACCGTTTTAGTTAAAAACGGTGAATACATTCACCGTTGTAGGGTAACACGGTGATATTTTCCCACGTTTCCCACCCCTGGCAGGTCAAAATTAGGTCACAGCTACCTATTATTCATCGTTTGAGACAAAAGCGGTGATGGTGTTCACCATTTTCGACAAAAACGGTGAATAGTTGGCAGATTTGGTTATAAATACCACACCACCAGCAGTTGTAAAAACATAACCACTCCCCTTTCTTCAAATTTCAGCAACCAAAACCGAGCATAATACACAGAACAGGAATTTTTCGGTATGTTGAGACTTTTCGTATTATAGTCTAATTATGTTTTTAGTAGTTATAGTATGATTTAATTTTCCTATTATGTTGTTGTTAGTTAGTTGAATTTATGTTCGTTAGCTATGAGATGGATAATATTAGTTGTACAATATGATTTTGGTTAATTTACTGTCTTTAAGCTAATAGATACTTATTGTAAATTGTAGATATGAGTAAATTCAAGAAGTTTCATCTTATTATTCGGTGGAATGGAAGGGTGACAAACTCTGACATAGGCATTGATTATGAGGACGGCGAATCCACTATGCTGAAAATTGAGTCCCGATTCAATTTTCAAGAACTCTGTGATATTTGTGCAGACAGGGTTTGTACGAGCGGACAGACGAGACTTGGCAAAATTACTTACCGGTATCCAGACATGAGTGCTGGCGGGGTCGTGTACCAAGAAGTTGTCATAAACGATGATGACGCGGTTACGATGATGTTACAGTTCCTAAGCGATAACCAAGTCCGTCTTGCAGAGGTGTATGTTGAGACCGAGGCGGTCGGTGAATCTCATTCTCACCAGTATTCTTATGATGATGGTTTTGCAGGAGGGTACGGATGGGGTGGTAGTTCAAGCAACTACGAAGGCGGTGGTTATACAGGAGGTTACGGAGAGGGTGGTAGTTCAAGCAACTACGCTGGAGGTAGTAGTGCAGGATGGGTGCCATCGAAAGAATACTCGCAACCTGATCAACCAGCCCCATTTGTTGAGGCCGATGGTGTTCAATGGCATGCTTGGGGGTCAGAGTGGTCTGAAATCGAGAATACCATTCGATCAGGGCGTACTTCACATGAGCGAGAAGACGATGTTGGTGATCGTGGTCATGTTGATCCTTCTGGCCCGAGAGGTGCGAACATTGGAAGATGCTCCCATACCCACAGTTGTAGGATGAACATCGCAGCACCAACTTGCTTTGCCCCAACTTTCGAGCAAGTACACAGCTCCTGGTATACGCCCGCTAGCACGGCCGATCCCCAACTCTTTTGCCCGATTGCATCCTAGTCACCAATGAGCATATCCAACCATATGCCTTGAATCCACCGGTTGGACTTGTCGGGGAACAAAAATCCACCCACCAAATCGATGAGGTAGATGCGGGCGTAGCGCTCGACTTGTTCTTCCGGTGTCTCGTCATTGATTTCCACCTCTTGCTGGATGTGAGATACCAGCCACGGGACCGACACTTGGCCCGCATTCAACGATGGATGCCCCCATCCTTGAATTGGTGTGGTGGTCGGCATGTCAGAGCCCAAACGATCACGTATGAGCGGCCCCCAACCTCCTTCGGGTTTGGTCGTGGAACCAATGATGGCATCTCCAGAAATAGGCAGCCCGGTGAGGATCGCCACGTCTTTGAGGGTGATCGTCATTTCCCCCTCCGCAAGGTGGAACGTATGGGTTTCGGGACGCCATCGTTCCGCCATTGCCGTAAGCAGATCGTTGTCGATTTCGATCCGCATGAAATGGCGCAACATTCCCAAACCGGTCCTCTCTATATAGGGCTCCAACTTTGGATGCCAAGCGGGCAAGTTATTGGTCCCTTTATGAACCACGGGAACAAGAGATTCCTAAAAAAAATAGGAAAAACATCAATTTATTAGATTAAATAAAGCAAAATAAAACCTTAGAAAATAATAAAATAAAGCAAGAATACTCATCAAATTACCGGATTGTTATCCCAAATAGCACGGGAGCGATGAGCTTCTTGATCGGTTAAGAGACTCGCATCCCTTGGGCCATAATGGATATACAATCGAGGATCGTATATCTCGGCACCCATCTATAAAAAAGTAATGAAATCAGAGATTGTTTTGATAAAAAAAACACAAAATCAAATTGTTTCGACTAAAAAAAATGGCTTAATTGCAAGTTTGGTCACTCGAATTGCTATAAAATTTCACGTTTGCCACTCAAATTAATTTATTCCATTTATAGTCACTCGAATTAGTTGAACAGTTCAAGTTCGGTCACTCTCCGTTAACCTCCGTTAACTTTGACTGACGTGGCGGTCAACTCTGACAGTTGACCGTTAAATGTGTGACGTGGCAAATAAAAAATAATTAAAAAATAAAAATTAAATTTTTAGAAATTACACATCATTATCACAAAAAATTATAATTATAAAAAAGAAAAAAAAGGAAAAGCTCGTCAATCATCTTCCCCGCGCTCATATAGACATCGAACGCCTTCACCGTGTGGGCGTACTCCATCTCCGCGAATCGATCGAGCAGGACGGTCAGGACCTCGACTATCTCCATGTACAGAGCAAAGCTCTCTTTAACCACCTGCTGAAACGCCACCAGCACCAACCTGTTGGTCCTCCGGCGCGGCCCTCTACCTTCCTCCGACCCCGCTGAAGGAGCCGGTCTCAGCATGCTTGAAAGTGGAATTCGGATTCACTCCTTACAGCGAGAGGCTGAACGGGCGGATCGCGTTTCTCGGGCTGGCGGTGCTGCTGCTGCTGGAGCTGGCGACGGGGAAGAGCGTGCTCAGCTACCACACCCCGTCGATCGTCCTCGTCCTCGTCCCGATCTAATTCTTCACGAGAAACAAAAGAAGATGTCTCTAGTCACAGAAGAGATAAGGGCTAAAGCCACGGAGGTCTACAATGGCGACGAGATCTGTCAGGACAAATCCAAGGAGCTCCTCAAGGAGATCCAGCTCCCCAATGGGCTGCTGCCACTTCACGACATCGTGGAATGTGGGATCAACAGCGAGACAGGGTTCGTCTGGCTGAAGCAGAAGAAGAGCATCACTCACAAGTTCGACAAAATTGGGAAGCTTGTGACATATGCGCCAGAGGTGACTGCAGTGGTTGAAAAGAGGAAGATCAAGAAGCTGACAGGTGTTAAGACGAAAGAGCTTGTGCTTTGGGTTTCCCTCTGCAATATCTATACCGATGAGCCGCCTACTGGGAAAGTTACGTTCAAGTCCCCAACTGGGCTGTACAGGTCTTTCCTTACTGCTGTGTTCGAGGTTGAGGAACCTGCTGCTAAGGAGGAAACTACTGCTGCGGCTGCGGCTGCTCCAGCGGAAGCTGTTGTAGTGAAGGACGCTTAGAGTTCGCGTCTTTGTTCAGTGGAGAAGCTTTGAGAAAGAACCATATAGCCATGAGGTGATTAAGAGAAGTGTGGTTCTGTTTAGCAGCATGTCAATTCCCAGTTTCGTGTTGTCGTTTTAGCTTCTTGCTGTTGTTTTCTCTGTACTTTACTTGCTTTCATCACGTTGATAATAAAATTGCATCTGTTCTGCAAAAAGTTTGATTCTTTCTGGGTTTCTGGCATCTGGACACAAGTGAAGTACACCAAGAATCAATGAAAGGGTTATTGGTCTGCGCAACAATTCAGTCTGCATCATATCGGATTAAATCGATTCGGTTCTCAAATTTCGAGGCTCAATTCCATAAATTACCATGCCGAATGAAAAGAAGATAAAATGTGGTTTTGATTCTAACTCAGGTTCTCATAAAGTACGAGAATTTTTTGTTAAAATTTCCTTTTTTTCATTTTTTATAATTATAATTTTTTGTGATAATGATGTGTAATTTCTACAAATTTAATTTTTATTTTTTAATTATTTTTTATTTGCCACGTCACACATTTAACGGTCAACTGTCAAAGTTGACCGCCACGTTAGTCAAAGTTAACGGAGGTTAACGGAGAGTGACCGAACATGAACTGTTCAACTAATTCGAGTGACTATAAATGGAATAAATTAATTTGAGTGGCAAACGTGAAATTTTATAGCAATTCGAGTGACCAAACTTGCAATTAAGCCAAAAAAAAATCATAAACCAAAAACCTACACGAAGAGCCTCTTCGTCCATTTTTTGGCGGAAGCCGGAAAGAGGTTCGACGGGTTTAGGTTTGTAAGGAACGGGAACTTAGCGGGACGGGGGCTTTAGGGTCAAACTCTAGTAATTCTTTATGATGTGGAAGATCGGACTTAGCCGCAACCACAGAGCATACTTAGAACGAGACTAGAGCGGATAAATTGAGGGAGAAAGAATGTAAATGGTTGTGGTGTGATTTGTTTGTGGGGGGAAGGGTTCTATTTATAGTGGGGGAAGGGATCAGCCGAATTAATTCTGGCCACCCTTCACCGCGTCTCTCAGAAACGGTGAAGTCACCGTTTGCCTAGAAAACGGTGAATGACGCGGATCGAGCCGACGTGGCCAAGCGTGAAGCGTCGGATCTAGGAAGAAAACCACGATCCGCGCCTCACCGCAACCGACGACCACGGTGAACGCGCCAGCGACGCGGATCGCTGACGCAAACAAACACTGGGTATTCACCGTGTTTGTTTAACGCAGTGAATACCCCGCGTTCGTCCACGTCAGCGATCCGCGTCGCTTCATCGTGGCCCATTAAAACGGTTTCAGTTTCACCATTTTTTATTAAAACAGTGATGCATTCACCGTGTCTGTTTAAAACGGTGATTGCCTCCCCATTTGTTCACCGTTTTAGACTAAGACGGTGAATACGTCACCGTTTTTTTTTAAAGGTGAAATATTCACCGTCTTCGTCAAACGCGGTGATAAACTTCACTGGGTTTGTCAAAAACGGTGATGCTTAAACATGTGTATTTTGGGAAATTTTTTTATAACTTATGTATTTTGGGAATTTTTTTTAATAACTAGTGTACTTTGGGATTTTTTCCACTCCATTGGGTAGTAGAACTTTTAACATTCAAGATTAGAGAAATTAAGGTATGATTTATGACTTGAGGGAACGAACCAGCCTCTAGATATCCTTGCGATTCACATGTGATGTCTCTACCCACAGTAAAACAATGTATTTGGAAGAACAAAGCTGACATTACATATGCTCCCGACACTTTCATTGGTCCCATTTTCTTCAAAGCCAGCCAGATTTCGTTCTCAGTGAATGGTTTTAATAGCTCGTGAATCATTGCTTCTATAATTTTTCCTGGTACTGCATCTAAAATATGATGAGTTCATGTCATATGCCATGTAAAGTATAGATTACGTAAGTAGTCTATCATGTATTTTGCTACTGCAATTTGCCCCACTTGCATTACTCCATCCTCATCATGTAGTTGTCTAATTGTATTTCGGTTTCTTCTATCAGAAGTTTTCCTGTGGAAAAACTTAGTGTTTCTATCTCCTTCTTGTAGCATCATGTTCTAGATCTCTACTACCACACAACTTATTCCAAATTCATGACTTCATTCAACTATGATTCTAGAGCTTTTTGTGTGTGTAATCACTGTCCCAGTTTGACTCATTTTTTCAGTTTTACCAAAGCTTGTTCTATTTTGTGTCTTCGACCTTGTAGACTGTTATGCTTACTCCATTAAGTGTTTGCCTTTACAGGCCGCCACCTTATCCATCAACGATGTGTTTGGATCTTCCATCCGCCCTTGTAATGCTTGAGCACACTCCTCAGGTTTGAAGGTCCCTTTGTAACAACATCAACCTATGATCTGATCTACATCTTCGTTGGTGGTACACCCTAGAATTCTTGAAATGTTCCATCCAAGATTCATTTGCAACCATTCTATCCAGCCTTTCCTCAATAAAAGTATCATTAGCATGATTGTTTTCCTATGTAAACATATTTCCATAATAGACTAGATCTTCCACATCACACTCTTCTAGAACAAATTATAGCCTTCCATGAATTGAGCATCAACTATTTTATTTCAATTTTTTATGAAGAGGAACACCCTCCACAGTCACTACCTTCGGTGATGCCCTAGTCGGGCGAAACCCCGGGACCTCCGCCAGTAGTCCGGGCAAATGCAGGGTGCCTCCGAAAACACTATGACAGCGGTGAGGATTGATTCTAGATGGGATGAACTTTGCTCTCCAATGGGACTAGGTACCCGTTTCAAACGAGAAGGGTACACAGTCCCATCCCGTTGCCCACCCCTACCACCATTGTATCTGGGGAATTAAGAACATAGCTCCTTTTAATGGGTACTACCCACCGTCCACACCGAGGTTTTATCCTGGTTTCTTTCTAGGAACGCATATTTATGCCAAGGGTACGGTCGCCTCGTCCACCATAGGATCCTATTCATACATCTAACCTCAATTTGCTTGATGGCGCATTCCCATCTAATCCTAAAAATCCATACCCAGCGTAGCAACTCAATTAGGCTAGTAGAGAAGATTAGAGAAACTTACTCAAACACAATCAAAACTAGAGAAACAATGAAATCAACTAGATAAACACATTCATGCATTAAAATCCTAAAATATTCATTCATTACATAGTAACCCTAGAACTAGGGTTTGGGGTTTAGAACCCCTAGTACCTTAGAGGAATACTCCATAAAGGAGGTAAGAAGATACATAGAAGAAATTGGGGAAGACTTGATGTTGAGGAAGATGGTTCCTCCATTATAGCTCCTCCGTTTCCTTCCTTCAACTTCTCTCTCTTCTTTATCTCTCTAACCAGAAATTCTATCTCAAAATCAGCTCACTTGAATGGGGGAAGGGGGTCTTCTATTTATAGTGTTCAGAGGACGGAGAAGATCGCGGCAAGGCAGCATGTAGATCGCGGCCGCGATTTACTACCTTGATGTCGTGATCTGCCAATGCCGCCGTTTTGACCTTCAAGCACGAGAGGTTCGCGGGATGACCTCACGGCCGCGATCCGTGAAGCGCGGCTGCAAACTTCCTTAAGGTCAATGCAAACTGTAGCCGTGATCGGAATGGGGAAACTCTATGTTTCTCCTTACCGGCTTCTTCACGAACTTCACGCCCTCATCCTCCAAGATCGCGACCGAGATCTTAGGCTTCGAGGCACGATTTTTGCCTTAAGTTTTCCATCTTTGCTCTCAGTCGTGATCTCCATATCTAGGTCACGATCATCAGCATTCTGCCCTCTTTTTCTACACTTGTGTCCTTTTTCGTACCTAATTCGCATGTATTGTCTAAAGCACCATAAAATCACATCATAATCAAATAGGAACGAAATAGGGATGTAATTGACGTTATTTAAATGATTATGCACATGAATTGACACAAAATAAACCTAAACATGAAGGGTAAATCACACCGGTTTAGGTGTTATTAGTCTTCAGGTTTGATTTTGCCTCTTGCTTGGTCAATTTTGGGGAATTGAGTGTTAGGGTTCTTAGGTATGTTTTGCTTGAATTAGATGTGGGGAAGGCTTGTCTAGGGTGTGTAATATGTTGATCAATGTATTGCTTGCATGTTTGTGCCCTTGTGAGTTCCAATTGCACCCTTTTGCTAGATGTTCACCTTAATGCTCACAAGGTGTTCAATGAAATGCCTGTGGTTCATACACTTTTGTGAGAATTGATTGATGCTCTTATTTACATGGCCTTTGAGCGTGCTTGCTATGGTTGCGATCTATATGAGTCATACTTACATGTTTGAGGGCACCCCCTCAAAATTTTGAATCTATAATTGAGTTTTCAGCTTGGGAAATATGGATAGCAACATGATTTGCTAAGTTTGTGACTAAGTGTGGGGGTGTCACTAACCTTCACCATGCTTCCTTTTTGCAAAACTATGACTGTGTTTCTTGCAGGATCATGGCGAAGCCCAACCTCAAGCATCAGTTCCTCAAGGACTTGAAATCTGGGCCCCACAAGTAGTTCAAGAGCACCATGGAGGCCTCATTTGGCAAGAACTACTGCTGGGACAGGTGCACCCTGACCCGCCTCCACTGCCACGAGCCACTCCTTGCAGTAGTTCCCATCTAGTCTGGAGGCGGATGCTTCAGTTGTCCGCAAGGGCTACTTTGAGCCAGTGAGAGTTCTACTTGACCTTCGAGCACAAGGAGACCCGCAACGAGATCACCTTCTAGCTAGAGGGAGAGTACCACACCCTGAACTACACAAAGCTCGCAGCCGCGTTTGACCTGCACACGAAGGAGGTGATGATAATGACCTCCTCCATGAGGAGGTCAACCCGGCGGGTATCAATTTTCAGGGATCTGCTGCCAAATCACCCTCCCACAGTACGTCACTTTCAACAAGTAGTTTTTGCCTAGGAGGACGAAGGCCACTACCCCCTGAATAGAGTGACCCATCCCGACTAGCTGCTGGCCAAACCTTATGATCCTAGTATAGAGGCTACGGGTCACCTAATGAAGAGCACGATACACTTGATGTACTCCATGGGCCAGGTTGATCATCCCCTGCACTTAGGCTC